CAAAAAAAAAAAAAACAGTTTAGTTCATTACTTCAGGACAAGTCACTTATCGCTTAGTTCATCTTCCTCTTGTGCACTAAAACTACTAAAGTTGTCTTCTTCAGTGAACAGCCTCAAAATTACTTCATCAAACATGTCCTCTCTCTTTCGTTGTCACTCTCAACATCACTTTCCCTCATGCTGTCCTCTTCATCACGCAGCAGTCCAGCTTTTTGAAACCTGTTGGTGATAGTGGATTTTTTTTTTACTCTGCTCCTCTGTCAGGATCCACTGGCAGACTTGAGCAAATGTTGCTTTTCGCATGCGGCCAGTTTTGGCAAAGAATTTCTCGCCGCTTGTCAGTTCGCAGTGCCACTTTAAATGCACAGTTCACACTGATGTTGAGTGGCTGCAGATACTTTGTTGTGCCCCCAGGGATCACAGCTGAAATCAAGTTTGTCCTCCTAATTGATGCTTTCACGGAGTTTGTGATGTGAGCCCTCATGCTGCCCAAAACGGGCAATGCTTTTTTTTTTCAGTGAAAAAATCCCCCTGTCACTTTCCATTGCTGCATTCTGTCAGCCAATCCTGCATAAGACTTTTTCACATGCTCTGCACATGCAGCGGGATACCCCACTCCATAGGCGTCGCAACCATTATATGTGAAGGGGACAAGTCCCCCCCCACATTAAAAAAAAGTTCATTTGGACCACCCCACTTTTACTATGAAACATTAGTTCAGGCGGCGCAGTTTCTTTCTTTGTGAAAAAATCCATTCCACTTGATTAACAGGAGAATACTCAAACTACTAAAACTCCACTCCAGGTTTTCCTGGTTACCTCCAACTCTAAACACAGCAGCCTGCTGCCACGGTCACAATATACGGTGGTCACAGAATATGGTGTAACACCTGCAGTGTTTCGGCGCGTCTCCTCCTGCTTCGGCATAAAACACGCACAGGTGGAGGAGATGGAGACACCTCTGTGTTGATCGCTCGCCAGTTTAGCGAGCTTAGTGCGGGCAGTTGTTGTTGTGGGGGGGGGGGGGTGATCATAAATGTATATTCATGTTAGGAGGAGAAAAGTGGAGCGCTACGTAGCATCTTAGCTTAGCAGTAACCGTGACACTGTAAGACGCTGCAGGTGTAAGAGACGCTGTGTGTTCAGGTGTATTAAAGTTAAAATGTCTTTAAAACCCCACGCCTTATTTTCCTCAAGCTTTGTGAGAAACATCATTTAGATGAGTAGTGTTGAACACAAGTAAAAAAGTCCAGTGTTGATGTTTTTTTATTTCACAATAAACACAATTAGTGCCGACCAGACGCTCCATATTAAAGTGTATTAAAGTTAAAATTACTTTAAACCCGCAGCTGAATTTACACAAACTTGGTGAGAAACATGTTTTAAATGTGTGGAATTAAAGGAAATATAGGTTGAAATGTTGTTTTTTTGTTCACTAGTTAACACCTTTTTTTTATGCGCACACATGCGCGCGCCCAGACATCTACACACATCATTGTGTCCCTCCCACATTACGGATGCTTCTGACGCCCTTGCCCCACTCTCTGTTTCATATATTTTTAAACCTTTATTTATACAGGCAGTCTTATCAATGCACGTCTCTTAGAGGGTGGGTCCTTGTGACTCAATGACAGTACCTCATTGGCGTACTGTAACCATGAGTGAGTTAGGTAGTTGTCATGAATACCTGTGGCGTTCACTCTGTCTGTGTACACACGCACACACACACGAGACGTCTATTGAGCAGCTATGTGAGCACCAGGGTGTGACGAAACTAAACTGTTCAAAGCATGTGAAAAAAGTAGCGGATTGTAGACCAGAAATTACAGTAATCTCTCATGTATTATTTTTTTTGTCATGGGACTTTTCTGGCAGGCAAAAGTTTTACAATAAGTCGTGCACAGAGTTCAGAACTTGCTTTTTCTTTTATACAGTCTGTGGTTCAAGCAGACTGTGACTCGAGGTGATTGAGACTACTTTCTACAAGCTGCTGATATACAAGTGCTAGTCATAAAATTAGAATATCATGGAAAAGTTTATTTATTTCAGTAATTCCATTTAAAAAGTAAAACTTGTATATCCATTCATTACACACAGACTGATATAGTTCAAATGTTTATTTTTTTAATGTTGATGATTATAGCTGACAACTAATGAAAACCCCAAATTCAGTATCTCAGAAAATTAGAATATAACTTAAGACTAATAAAAAAAGGATTTTTAGAAATGTTGGCCAACTGAAAAGTATGAACATGAAAAGTATGAGCACGTACAGCACTCAATACTTAGTTGTTGCTCCTTTTGTCTGGATTACTGCAGCAATGCGGCGTGGCATGGAATCGCTCAGTCTGTGGCACTGCTCAGGTGTGATGAGAGCCCAGGTTGCTCTGATAGTGGCTTTCAGCTCTTCTGAATTGTTGGGTCTGGTGTATCACATCTTCCTCTTCACAATACCCCATACATTTTCTGTCGGGTTAATGTCAGGTGAGATTGCTGGTGAATTAAGAACAGGGATACCATGGTCCTTAAACCAGGAACTGGTAGCTTTGGCACTGTGTGCAGGTGCCAAGTCTTGTTGGAAAATGAAATCCGCATCTCCAAAAAGTTGGTCAGCAGCAGGAAGCATAACGTGTTCTAAAACTTCCTAGTAGAGGCTGCGTTGACCTTGGACCTCAGAAAACACAGTGGACCAACACCAGCAGATGACGTCGCATCCCAAACCATCACTGACTGTGGAAACTTGACACTGGACCTCAAGCAACATGGATTCTGTGCCTCTCCTCTCTTCTTCCAGACTCTGGGACCTTGATTTCCAATGGAAACACAAAATTTATTTTGATCAGAGAACATAACTTTGGACCACTCAGCAGTAGTCCAGTCCTTTTTGTCTTTAGCCCAGGCGAGACGCTTCTGATGTCTCCTGTTTAAGAGTGGCTTGACACAAGGAATGCGACAGCTGAAACCCTTGTCTTGCATGCGTGGTGGTTCTTCAAGCACTGACTCCAACTGCAGTCCACTCTTTGTGAATCTCCCCCACATTTTGGAATGGGTTTTGTTTCACCATCCTCTACAGTGGGCAGTTATCCCTATTGCTTTTCTCTTCCACAGCGTTTCCTTCCCTTTGCATTTCTATTAATGTGCTGGGACACAGAGCTTTGTGAACAACTAGCCTCTTTAGCAATGACCTTTTGTGTCTTGCCCTCCTTGTGCAAGGTGTCAGTGGTCATCTTTTGGACATCTGTCAAGTCAGCAGTCTTCCCCATGATTGCGTATCCTACAGAACTAGACTGAGACCATTTAAAGGCCTTTGCAAGTGTTTTGAGTTAATTAGCAGATTAGAGTGTGGCACCAGGTGTCTTCAGTATTGAACCTTTTTACAATATTCTAATTTTATGATATACTGAATTTGGGGTTTTCATTAGATGTCGGTTATAATCATCAACATTAAAAGAAATAAACATTTGAAATGTATCAGTCTGTGTGTAATGAATAAAAATAATATACAAATTTTAGTTTTTCAATGGAATTACTAAAATAAATCAACTTTTTCTTTATTCAAATTTTATGACCAGCATCTATTTACAGTACACTTGCTAGCTAGCTATTCTACAACTAAATCATGTGTTTGTGCAAATATATCAACATTTGGCTTCAAAATGTGACTGACATCCTTTGTGAATAAAGACAAAACTGGAGATTAAGACACAACAGAGCCTCATGCCATGAAAGTATTCAGTAGATGTTTGTTGTCATTTGTTATTTCCAACCAAATAACTGCTCTTGAAGCATACATCTATTGAACCAGAGAGCATGAATATCACTTTATGTTCAATAAAGAGACTAAGCTAAACTTGAATGTGTTTCATTGAGTAACACACATGCTATGCTTGGTTGTAGTACAGTCAGATCAGTCTTAAATTTCATTCAAGGTGGCATTAAAAAGGTTTTAAAATGTTTAGAGTTTAAAAAGGGCTGCCAGCACTGTACTTCACAGATGGGACGGTGTTCTAAGCTTCTCTATTTAGATGTTTGTTTGTTTTTCTGTAAAATGTGACTTTCTAAACACAAATGACTCTTTTAGAGTCTAACTTTCTCTGAAACTCCCCTTTCTTTTCCTCGTCACTTTGTTCACCACTAACTCTGCTTCCTTCACGTTCCTTCACTTCTCACAAACCTCCATGTGGCATGTTCTTTCTTCTCTTCACTCCATCACGTATGAACTCAAGTCAGCCTTTTAAAAAGTTGTTTTCTGCCTGTCTACCTGCTGCAGGTTCAAACCAATGATACGAGAGTGTAACTGGCTAAAAGCAGGACACTGAAGTCATTTTCTGATCCCATACATTAAAACTTCATGTCCATTTTTTAGCATTCTGTGGGAAAACATGCTCACATTATTTCATACATTTCTTGTTCTAAAACACCAATCCTAGAGTAGATTTATCTGTGCAAAGCCACATTTCCATTTGTGTCTGATAAATCACCCCATCTGTATGGTTTGCTTCATTTTAGCAAATCCCATCATTACCATCAGCTGCAAAGCCTGCTCATCCCACCATGAATGACGCACACAGGGAGGAAGTAAACAGCAAGCCCAAAGGTAAATCCACCTTCCAATGTACATCTGCTTAAAAAAAAAGTTCAAATAAAGGAACTTTTGTTGTATACGTTTCTGTAGTGGGATTAGGGAGCAGGCAGAAGAGAGCCTGGAGAGGTGAAGGTTTAGATATGTGTGAGCAGTCCATGAAGTGTGCAAGAAAGCTGAAGAGTAGAGAGCAGGCAGGTGGGGTGGATGAAGATGGGTGTCAGAAGGATAGCTACTAGAATAAAAGGGGAGGTTTACAGCAGACCTGAGGGGGTGGGTGGTAGGGGTTGAACGACTACATCATTTTTAAACTCGACATTAACATAATAAAACTGGAATAGAACACGAGTACTTGATGACACAATAGGATCTAAAGATACAAAAATAAATAAATAAATAAAACTGCAAAAAAGGTCATTATTTACAAAAAAAGACCAACAAAAAATTGGGAGCATATATTATGCTCCTACCATTCATCTTACTGCACATAAGTCACAGGAAAAACTAAACTATTAGTTATTATTATTATTAAGCCGCAAAATTGAAAGAAACATGCGGCACGTGAAAAACTAAACTAAAAACAGTGGGGCGGTCGACCACCTCGCACCACCACCAGCTGTGGTGCGCATTAAGTTTAGTTTTAGAGATTAATATGTTTATAGGTTTTTTCATAGGTTTAGAGATTAATATTTTTTGCTTTTTGTTTGTGAAACAAGGTCAGAGGAAGCTGGTTCTGGTTCGGTCATTGGACCCGGTGCTCCACCATATTCTGTGACCCGCAACAGTGGATGCAACACCGACCCCTACGGTCACAATATATGGTGGTCACAGAATATGGTGCAACACCGATTCGCAACGAGCTCCTAACAGTCAGGAAGTTGATTCATTTTCTGTTTCCTTACGGTAGTAGAACTGGAAGATTCATCTTTAGTGAAATATTTCCAGACTAATGATGTATTTCTACCTGTTTGCCAAGACTGGGCCTGCTCTGCTCCATCCGTCTGCTTGGAGGAATCCATTTTGTAACACACCCCCGGTGCGGATCACGTGACACATGACGTAATGACGTCACCGCGAATATGCAACGTGAAATTAAAAAACTGGATAGATGTCCTAGGAATCGATGTGTAGATTACTCGAGTAGTCTGTTAAAGCCCTAGTGACTAGGTGTGGTTATTAAAAAGGAATGCACTACTATACATATTTTTCTTTTGTTTACGGTAAATTTTCAGACCTAACTTATTCAAGCAGAACTAAAGTTTAGACATTTCCACTCAGACTTTATTTGGGACGAAGCAGAGAAAAGCCAGGGAGTTTAGAGGGGGAACCCGTCTCCACTCCTCTGCTCCTCACCACTTCTAGCCCCCTCAAGCAGGAGATTATTGGAGGAAACGTTTGCTGCCTGGAGAAGGTGCCACTTGCAATCAGGGGCAAACAGTCAAAGTTATGAATTTGAGTATGATGGAAGGATGGCCAAAAAATGTTCTTTCTTAAAAAGGGGCGGAGCATAAAAAGTCAGAGAATCAATGATTTACAGTTTGGACACAGTGGCTTTAATCAAAAGACAGGAGGTAAAGCTAGAGGTGTCAGAGATGAGTATGTTTGTCCAAAAGATCAAGATTAGAAAATAAGGGACAACTCTGGTTGAGTGGTTTGGAGTGCCTGTTTGTTGTGTTTGTGTCCAGTCTTACAACCTGTTTTCTGATTGACAGCTGCTGCTGGTTCTTCAGCTAAAGAATACTGTAAAGTAACGTTTCCTTACGAGGCGAAGAACGAAGACGAGCTGACCCTCAAAGATGGAGAAATTGTCAGAATACTGAGCAAGGTAAGCCTCCCGCTGAATAAATATGGTGGTGTGAAAGTTCACGTTTCCATTGTGTGGGATCATATTTTAGAAACTCATACTCTATTCATATAAGATGTTGCATATAACATCTTTGTTAGATTTTCTTACTACTCAGTTTCACAAACTATCAAAAAAAATTCTAAGTGAAAACATGCTCCTCGCGCATTGACCTTTTCAACCACATGAGAGTTAGAACATATAAAGCTACCGGTATCTGCATGCATAACCAGGTATCATAATTAGAACATCCTCTGCTAGACCAATGAAGGCCTAGTCGAGGATGATCAGGTGTCTTTGCACTAGGGGTGTAAATCACCAGCTTTACATGATATGATATATTGATTTGTTTGTATGACGATATGATTGTTCTCGATATCACAAAGTCTGTCACGATACGATTTCCATTCTTTTCGATTCACAAGTCTGCGATCGATATATTGCGATATCAAATGCCCATCTCATTTACATATAAATAAATTTACAAAAACAATTCAAATATGATTTAACCATTTTATTTCTGTTATTACAGGCACCAGGCATTTAAATTAAAAAAAACATTTTTTTCTTAATGAAAAATTAAAAATAAAGGACCTGTTCAGTATCGTCTCACATTTTTCATGTTTAAGTGCATTTTTTAAACCAGTTAACTTAAAAGTGCTCTGATTACCTTTCGGTTATAAAGAAACAAAAATAGATATTGAGCTTACATAACATGGCTATCAATGCCGTGTTTCTTCTTCACGTGAACGGCCAAATTAGTTGTTTCCCGAATATTTTAACTCACACTGGCACCTGTTGCATACGGCATGAGTTCTGTCTGTTGAGCTGTCGTCCTGTTGGAATCCAAATATTTCCAGTGTTGATTTAAATCCAGCAGGAGAGTGAATTTCATTTTCTGTGCTTTTTGCCATGCTGCTGAGGCGGCCGCAGAGTACAGCCGCACACGGAACTGGTGACACAGACATGCCTTGGGAATTTCAAAATAAAAGCATATTTTAAAGATGACGATATGAGTCAATGTTTTAGTTTTGCCACGATATAATTGAATCATTAATCATTTAATCGATATATCTATGTATTTTTACACCCCTACTTTGCACATCCTTTAGTCTCTTGGCCTTGTTGATGGATTATGATGAAGCAAGTTTGGGTTGTAGGTGAATTAGGTGTTCAAAATCTCCCAAGTTGTGAGTGAGGTTCTGCCTCAAGTGGAGGAGTTTAAGTATCTTGGGATTTTATTCAGGAAAGAGTGAAGAAAGGAGCAAGAGATTAACAGAGGGATTGGTGCAGCTTCAGCAGCACTGTGGACTCTGTGCTGGTCCATTGTGATGAAGAGGGAGCTGAGCTGCAAGGATAAGCTCTCTGTTTACTGGACGGTCTACATTCCTCCCCTTCGGGTTAGTTACAGAAAGAAAGATTGCAGATACAAGCAGTCAAATTTAGTTTTCTCTGCAGGGTAGCTGAACTCTCCCTTGGAGGGTGAGAAGTTCAGTTATCCAGGAGAGAAATCCAAGTAGAGCCACTGCTCCTCTACATCGAGGAGCCAGTTGCTGTAGTTTGGGCATCTAATAAGGATGCCCCCTGGACACCTTCTTATGGAGGATTCCTGGTCATGTCCATCTGGAAGGTGACTCTGGGGAAGACCCAGCACATTCTGGAGAGACTATAGCTACTTCTCCATTGTTAAGTACCACGCTAATGGCTTTATTCTTATTCAGTTCTTTTCAGGTACTGTCTACTAGTCAATTTAATTAACAGCAATTACATCAGCTTTATACGCTACTTTTAAATGCTTATTTTATTACAGTAATTGCTAGGCTACAGAACGCGCCTGACTCTAAGCCATGCATACTAAATTTAAGATGAAACATAATTTTGTACATAAATAAGGTGCTCCAGTTATTAAGACGTGGGTATCGACCGTTCATTATCAGAATCAGTACCCAGCTCCTGGCATTATTATGCGCAGCTCTTGTTGTAGTACAAGAATCAGCCACCAGATGGCGTTTCATAGACTATGGCTTGGCGATCGTCATAAGTCTCACTTTGAATCAAGAGAAAAAGAGAACGAAAAAGAGAGCCCACAGTCAGGTGATGCAACCATCCTCCACATTCATCTGATCTACTCGACAAAAAGACTGCCACACTCGCATCGGATTTTTACACACAAAAAAACATCTTGTTTCGTCACAATAACTTGGAAAAGCAGATCAACTTTGGATCTCCAAAGTTTAAAAATGCTCGTCCCAGTGGACTGCACATGTGGCCATCGAAAGAGTCAAGTCAAAAACTCATACTGTCATTTGTAGAGTTCCTCAAGGGTCAGTCCTTGGCCCTCCTTTAACACTGTCCATGCTTCCTCTTGGTCAAGTCATCAGCTGCCATGGAATATCTTTCCACTGCTATTCTGATGACACTGAACTTTACTTAAAAATAGACCATTACCCATCTACTTCATCCTCTACATCACTCCCATCATCACTCTATACACTCACTCTCTGTCTGGATGAAATAAAGTCATGGATGTAAAACCTTTTTTTTATATAGAAAACATTGCAAGTTTCAGCTCATTGCTGTTTCAGTCTGATGTTGAAAAACTTGCTTGCTTTTGTGTCTACAAGACTGGACTACTGCAAGTTAATTATTTTTGGTAGCTCAACTTAAAACCTTCAAAAGCTCTTGTCCATCCAGAACAGCACCTCAAAACATAAAAAAAACATGAGCATATCACAGCAGTCCTGTGTTCTCTTGCCTGGCTTCCTGTCTCTGCCAGAATAAAATATGTCTGTCTGTCTTCTGACACATCAGTGTATTCAATTCAATTCCATACAATTCAAATTTACTTTATTAATCCCAAAGGGAAATTAAATGTTATTGTAACTCATTGTCCTCGTTTCATTAAGAGATGTTATAGATACTGATGGCTGTAGGCTGGAAGGATCTCTTGCAAAGGTCTGTCCCACGGCAGATCCGAAGAAACTGGCCGCAGATGCCGTCCAATCTATCCACCCAGACTTGGCTGATCTCTCGGTTCCCCGGGGCTGCAGGACTGCCCAAATGCTGGGCAGAACTCCTCCCAGAGCGATGGCCGCTCCTCTCATAAGCCTGCAGAGCGCCTCGTTGCTGCAGACAGTCGGCTGCAGGTGTCAGGGGACGATCCCGGTCCTTCTGCTGTCACGAGCCATGTTTCCTGCTAGTTCCAGGATCTCCTTAGGAGATCTTAGCATTTCAGTAGTCAGGCACTCTAGCACAGCCGGCAGGTAGATGGGAATGCATCCACGGTGCCTCCTTTTCAACTAATTTGAGATTTGGGGCTGTAATTGAGGTAGTAATTGAGCTTGAGATGTTAATGAGCAGCTCCTGGTTGTAAAAAAAACCTTGTTGTTATGGTCATTGAGATTTACAAATGTAAAGTGCTGTTTAAACTGAATGCAATCTTGTTGTAGTTGTTGTAGTAAATCTAGAAAATGTGCTCAAAGTTGGTAGTTATTTTTAGAACAGCTGGCTCTGACTCATTTAGTTGAACAGGTGACTCAGCTGTAGCTTCTTCAGCCCACTGCCTGCTGGTTCTGTTGGAAGCTGCTGTCATCTAGTGGTCATGCAGAGAAATAAAAGGCACTTCATTGTAAGAAAGTTTTTTTTTTTTTTTTACAAAACTTTATCAGTTTTACAAACAACTGACTGCCAGGGGTATATTAGTAGCTACAAAAGTGTAGAAAGAACAATTTGGTTATTACCAAAGGGTAAAAAATGCTAAAGATACAACACAATATATTTACATGTTATACAGATAAATTCACATGAAGTTTTTCTAGAATTGATTTGGTTTTCATTGCCTTTTTGTTTTCCAGTCCTTTAACAGCGGTGCTGTAAATGTAAAGTTCTGCTGAAGTGGGTCATGCTTGGTTTGGAGTTTGACCACTTTTTCTTGTGAATGTGGAATTTTCCCAGGGTTGGGTGAAGTAGATCAAGTCTTTGTCCATATCCTTATTGTCGAAGCATAATATAATGTCTTTCTCTGCAAGTTGAGTTATTTGTCCAGTTTTCTGTTGTATGAGTTGTTGTACATCTGTCCATAACGTCTTCGTATGATTACATTGATGGAATAAATGAGAAATTGTTTCCATGTGTAGTTCACAAAATGTACAAGAGTAGTCAATATCAAGTTTAAATCTTTCCAGTGTTTTTTTAACAGGGTATACATTATGATTGATTTTATATTAAACTTCTTTAACTTTATTTGTTATGCAAAATTTTTCTCCATTCAACCAAACTTGTTTCCACTTAATTTCTCCAAAAGTAGAGGACCAAAAAAATCTACCAGGAGGTAAAGTAATCTTCTGCAGACATGATCTTATTAGTTTGTTGGAGCATGTTTTTGCATTATGGGGCTTCTATAGATGAACGATCAGGTTTGTTCCTTCGAAGAGTTGCATCATGGAGTTTGGTAGAGCATGAAAAACGACAGCATGCTCTTCAGGTGTTACAGGTTGTTAAGTCTGGTCAGAAATTCAGTGTATGACAAAATGGTTCCGTTATTATTTAACAGCTGTTGGACCAGCATCATTCCATTATCCATCCAGTTTTTATAATAAAGTGACTTATTCTTATACAGAATATTCCCATTGTTCCAAATGTAGCACGTAGTTGGAGAGAAGTTGTGTTTGTAGGCAAGTTTCCAAGCCAGGAGAGCTTGTTGGTGAAGTTTTGATAACTTTATAGGTAACTTTTCAATTTTATAATCATATTTTAATAAGAATTGGAGTTCACCTACCTGATTAAAAATGTGGTCAGGGAAAGTGTTCCAAAGCGTCTCATTCCCTTTTGATAAGTTGGTTAACCATTTAATTTTAAAGGAGTTATTTAGCATTTCAAAAGTTAGGACATGTAATCCACCAGATGTTTTGTTATTACAGAGAATATCTTTTTTTTTAAGTAATGACATTTATGTTTCCATATAAAGTCAAATAATGTTTTATCAAACTTTTAGCATACATCCTTTGGCATTTCTAAAGATAAGGAAGTAAACACAGATCTTGAGATTCCCTCAGCTTTTGACAGTAACACCCTTCCATTTAATGACAGCTCTCTCATTAACCACATGTTAAATTTGTTTATTTGTTCTATAATGGGACCAAAGTTTGAACTGCTACGCAAATGTTGATTTTTCTCAATAACCACTCCTAAGTATGTAAATTTCTCTTTAACAGGAATACCATTAATTTCTGTCAGTGTGCAGTCTTTTAGTGGGAACAGAACCAATTTATTAAGGTTCATTTTTAGGCCTGACACTGAAGAGAATTATTGGATACAATCAGTTGCTTTACTCCATGTACATTAGAGATAAATACTGCAGTATCATTACTCACTTCATGTACATTAGAGATAAATACTGCAGTATCATTACTCCATGTACATTAGAGATAAATACTGCAGTATCATTACTCACTTCATGTACATTAGAGATAAATACTGCAGTATCATTACTCACTTCATGTACATTAGAGATAAATACTGTAGTATCATTACTCACTTCATGTACATTAGAGATAAATACTGCAGTATCATCAGCCAGTTGTGATAATTTGAAGTGTCTGTCTAGAGCTGAGATGCCCTGAAATTGACCTTTTTTCATTGTAAGAAAGTAACAGCTTTGAAAAACATTCTTTCCCTAACAGGACACAGGGGAGCCTGGCTGGTGGCGAGGCGAGGTTGGAGCCAATAGCGGAGTTTTCCCAAACAACTTTGTCACTGTAGTGTTGGAGTCAGAGAAAGAGGTGAGATTCTGTATTTCTTTATAAATGCACAGAAAAAAAAACAGATCATTTGGGTTCAATTATTTATGACATTTAAAAATGCTGTTGGATTATTGATGAGATGAGCTGTTTAAAAACTTCTGTTCTGATTTCTTGAAAATGCTTTACCGATATTTCTTATTGAGGAACTTTCTCATTTCAAGCTGAAAAGTGCTCAGTGACCAAAGCCTCTGAAAACTGAACCCATAGACTGTTCAGTGTGCATCAACAGAGCATCTGTGTAAAAGCCTGTAACCCTGTTTGATCTCAGAAAGCACCTTGGACGAGAATCAAAATGTCATTTTGAATAAGTGTTGAAATGACAAACCTACTTGTTTAGCAGACATTTTGCAAAAGCTGCATGTCTTTGAAAGCTGAGCTCTTGTTTTTCTGGCTCTCCATCACTCTACTTCAACCAGATGATTTTCTGCCATATTTGTATTTTGATTTTCTGCAATTATATACCAGGTTCTGCCATATTTGTTTACCTCATGGGTTTGCAACTTGTGGTACTTTTGCCACAAAGTAAAATTAATGACATAAGTCTCTTGTGCTTTGTAAAGCCCAGTCCGGTCTGGACCGGCCACAGTCAACACAGCCTCAGTCACTCTGTGTTGTTGTTTTCTTTTGCTTTCAGCAAAGTGCCGTCTCGATGTGGGCAGGGTTCTCATAGCAAGACCTCTGGAATCCTAGCTTAGCAATAACTACACCTCGTCGTTGGTCCAGGGCACTGGTGTCATCTTCTATGTTGCCATTTTTAATATAGAAAAATAGGAGCTCTCTATCTCACAACCGGCCAGAAGCAGGTCGCTGAAGGAAAAGATAGAAAGGAGCAGTCACTGGAAGTATGACTCAAATGTGACGTGTGCCCCCAGGCCAGCAAACTAATCAATGGCCAACACTCTGCTGACATCTAATCTGCAGCACCAGCCTGGTGTGAATGGAACTCCAGATCCCTGCGTTCCGAAAATCGAGCTGGAACTGGGCCAGACTGCCCAATGTGTACGCTCAAAACGCAGGGTGGAACCCGAATCGGGCCAGTCCTAGCCAGGCCGGGCTTTATAATGCATAAGAGACACATGACCCTTCTGAAGGTGCTCCTTGTACCTTTGACAAAAAATACATGAATCTGAGTAATGTTTGTTAAAATTAACATTTTTATAACGTTTTTCATGGATTTTTTTTTCAGCAAACTGACCCTTATAATACAGTTGATTCAGCTGCTTGTGTGAGCTCAGATGTTTAGCAAAATTCTGTGAGCATACCTTGAATTCAGATTGGTTTAGTGCAGGGATCAATTTTACTCTTCTTTTGGCTTTTCCCTCTTCAAGGGTCACCACAGCGAGTCATCCTCGATCTCACTCTGTCCTCTGTATCCTCTGTCCTCACTCCAACTACCTCCATGTCCTCTCTAACTACATCCATATACTGGATCTCCTCTTTTTTTTTCTCCTGGCAGCTGCATTTCTAACATCTTTCTACCAATATGCCCACTGTCCCTCCTTTGGACATGTTCAAACCATCTCAGTCTGGCCTCTAACTTTATCTCCCAGTTGTTCAACCTGTGCTGTACCTCTGTTGATTTATTTTCTAATCTTATTCATTCTTGTCACTCGTAAGGAGTACCTAAACATCTTCATTTCTGCCACTTGCAGTTCTGTCTCCTGTCTTTTTGTCCATGTCTCTGTCTCCAGACCATACACCATAGCTGGTCACACCACTGTCTAGTAAACTTTTCCTTTGACCTTTGCTGACACCCTTTTGTCACAAATGACTCCTGAAACTTTTCTCCATCTCCTCCATCCTGCCTGGACTGTTTTTTTCACCTCTTTACCACACTCCCCATTTTCCTGGACAGTGAACCCCAAGTACTTGAAGTCCTGCACCTTTGTGACCTCTGCTCCTTGTAGCCTCACTGTTCCACCAGCCTCCCTCTCATTCACACACATGTACTCTGTCTTACTACAGCTGACTTTCATTCCTCTTCTTTCAAATGCATACCTCCAACACTCCAAGTTCTCTTCCACCTGTTCCCTGTTCTCACTACAGATCGCAATGTCATCTGCAAACATCATAGTCCACGGGGATTCCTTCCCGACCTCATCTGTTAGTCGGTCCATCACCAGAGCAAACAAGAAGAGGCTCAGAGCTGATCCTTTATGCAATCCCACCTCCACCTTGAAGCTATCTGTCACTCCTACAGCACATCTCACCACTGTCCTGCTGTCCTCGTACATGTCCTGCTGTCCTCATACATGTCCTGCTGTCCTCATACATGTCCTATATCAGTCTAACATACTTCTCTGCTACTCCAGATTTCCTCATGTAATAACACACCTCCTCCCTTGGCACCCTTATCATATGCTTTTTTTAAATCCACAAAGACACAATGGAGTTCTTTCTGACCCTCTCTGTATTTCTCCATCAGCATCTGCAAAGCAAAGATGGCATCTGTGGTGCTCTTTCTTGGCATGAAACCATACTGCTGCTCACAAATGGTCACTTCTCATCTAAGTCTACCTTTGACAACTCTCTCCCAGATCTTCATAAAATAAAGTGCTATGTGCTGTCATCATTTTATGTTCCATACAATGCCGAAATTCATTCTCTGCATTTAACCCATCGCACCTGGGATACACCCAGGTGGAGCAGTGGGCAGCTATGTAAGTGCCCGGGGAGCAATTGGGGATTAGGTATCTTGCTCAGAGACACCACGACATGTGGGAATGGCTGGGGATCGAACCTGGGACTTTCAGGTCCTGAGTCGACCGCCCTGCCTCTACCCCATCATCGTGTGACTCAACTTAATTCCCCTGTAGTTGCTACAACTCTGTACATCACCCTTGTTCTTACAAATGGGCACCAGCACACTTCTTCTCCATTCCTTAGTCATTTTCTGACCCTCAAATATTCCATTGAATATTTGAGTCAAAAATCTCACTGCCATCTCTCCAAGACATTTCCAAAACTCCACTGGTATGTCATCAGGTCCTACTGCCTTCCCCATCTTCATTCTTTTCAGAGCTTTCTGGACTTCACCCTCACTAATCTTTCCCACTTCTTGGTCCACAGTTTCTAGGACCTCTACTCTTCTTTCTCTTTCATTCTCTTCATTCATTAGCTCCTCAAGGTGCTCCTTCCATCTTTCCATCACACTCTCCCCACTTGTTAGAACATTACCATTCCTATCTTTAACAAGTCTAACCTGCTTCACATCCTGTCCAGCCTGAGCCTTCTGTCTCTCCAGTCAGTACAAGTCCTTCTCGCCCTTTTTAGTTTCTAACCTCCCATACAACTCATCATACACCTTCTGCTTTGTCTTTGCTACTTCCCTCTTTGCTCTACTTCCCATCTACTTATATTCCTGTCTCCTCTCTTCAGTCCTCTCACTGTCATGTTTTTTATTGGCTAACCTCTTTCTTTGAATAGCTTCATGTACTTCACTATCCCACCACCAGGTTTCCTCATCATTCATTCTCTGTCCAGATGACACACCAATTACCTTCCAATAATTCTCAGTCGGGTCATCTGGACGGTCATTGGATTTGGTACCTGGATGATTGAGCATGAACTTTGTTAGCAAGTACCTTCCTACCTGTCTCCCTAATTTCTGTTGCTGTAGTAGCCCAGTCATTTGGAAGCTATTTCTTACCACTTAGACCCTTTAACAGCTCCTCTCTGAATTTCTCACAACATTCTTCTTTCCTCAGCTTTGATCATTTGGTCTTATTCTCAGATTTTACAATTTTTTTCTTCTTCACAACAGTTATTCTACACACAACCATCTGATGCTGTCTGACCCTGCTCTCCCCTGCCACAATGTTACAGTCCGCAATCTCCCTCAGGTTTCCTCTTCTACACAGAATGTAGTAAACCTGTGTACTCCTTCCTCCACTCTTGTAGGTCACTCTATGTTCCTCCCTCTTTTTGAAATAAATGTTGACTACAGCCATTTCCATTCCCATGGCAAAATCCACCACCATCTTTCCTTCCTGGTTTCTTTCATTGACACCAAACCTACCCATCACTTCCTCATCCCCTGTTTCCTTCATCAACATGTCCATTCAGATCTGCTCCAATCACCACTCTCTCCTCCCCGGAATTATTATCTATCACTTCATCCAGATCTTTCCAAAATGTATTTTTCTCCTATACATCACATCCAACCTGTGGAGCATAACCACTGATAATGTTTAGCATCAGACCTTCTACTTACACCTTCAAACACATCACCTTATTTGACACTCTTTTCACTTCTACTACATTCTTTGCCAACTCCTCCTTCAGGATCACCGTTACTCCATTTCTCTTTCTATCCACACCATGGTAAAACAGTTTGAACCCTGCTCCAATGCTGTAAGCTTTGTTGTCCTTCCATTTGGTCTTTTGGACACAAAACATTTACCTTCCTTCTCAGCATCATGTCGGCCAGCTCTCTGTTTTTGCCTGTCATTGTCCCCACATTTAGAGTTGCAACCCTCAGTCCTACATTCTTAACTTTCCTCTTCTCCCTCTGTCTCCTGACAAGTTTCCTTCCTTGTCGTCTTCAACTAACAGGAACACAATTTCCACCAGCACCCTGTTTTTCAACAGCACTGGTGGCGGTCGTTGTTTGGTAGACAGGGCGCACAGTTCTGTTGACGAAGCAGGACACCCTGCTTGTATATTTGTAGGGTAAACACTGGTGTCGCCTAGATGAACCTGCATGGTAGTTTTGGCAAAAGTGTTGAATGTTTGTTGCCCTTCCTTACACAACCCTCACCATTTACTCGAGCTTTCCTGTGGTCTTCAGACTATATGAACAACGTTTGAGCACAGTGGAAATCCTCCTGAGTGATTGTGTTGCCTTCATTGAACAAACCTTTTTCTGACCTCTGCTGTTGGTCTTGATTATAATTCTGTATTCTTGTGTTCATCTTTTAGGCTCCAGCACCAAGAGGCTCAGGGAAGTCCTCCCAAAAACCAGATTTGGAGCACGTAAGAGAACTACTGTAGCATAAAGATGTGCTCTTCTAACTTTGTCCCCTGACCCTTGGGTTTTCTTCCAGACTCACCATGAATTGTTTTCTTTAAAGTTTCTTTTGACTTGAATAATGTCTGATGTTTTCACATACTCATTGTCCTTTGAGTCAGCTACAGTCTGACTAATGTTATCTTTATTTTCTATGCTTCTAAGAAAGAAAAACAATTCATTAATGAAGTTTGTTTTATTTGATTATAACCAATGTGAACATGAATGATGTTTATTATTGTTTTCAGTCATTATAATGAAATCATGTGGAATATTATAATGTGTGTAACATATTTCTCTGTTCTGTTTTTCAGAAAATAAGTTTTCCTTCAGAGACACCTATTGTAAGTGTTTTTGAGCTAGAACTCTACTTCATATTATAATCAATATGAAATATGTTGAACACATTGTAATATTTTGCATGATTTTATTATAATTATTGCTTCAAGGTCATAAATTCAGGTTTATTATTATACAAGGTCTTTACTTGTCTGGGCCATCACTATAGAAAGCTGTATGATGGTTGACAGACAGGCATATAATGTGTCATGTGTTACTCATTATTTTTTTCTAGATTACATTTAAATTGTAGCATTTTGACTGATGCATTGTTACCCTGACCCAGTTCTCTGCCCTTTATTTCTCTTCCTGTTAGAAACCCATAAAGCCACCTCCACCATCAAAACAGCCAGGTAAGTTCTTCCCACTCCATGTTTCAATAAACTCGCTTAAATAGGTGAGACGGGTTCTTTTTGTGTGGATGCCACTTAACAATGCCTTCGTTTTAACTAAATCAGTGATGTTGAAGGATTTCTTTTTGTATTCGTGTGTTGCCTGCCCGCTAGCTTAGTGCTACGTTGCTGCTGATAATTGTCAATGGAGGGGGGGTGGCAGGGTGGTGGAGATAACGAAGTGGTACATCAGTAGCATTTTTGCTAGCGTGTTTGTCTTGCACCCTACATCAGTTGCGACAGTTGTCGTCGGGTGTTCGTGTGTGTGTGTGTGTGTGTGTGTGTGTGTGTGTGTCAGTAGGCAGGGCACTCATTTCTGTTGGCGGGGTGCCCCACTTGTATAATGGCAGGGGAAACACTGCCCTCCCTCCATTCATCTGTTCATACGTGTTGTGGGCATGATGACTTGAAAAATAATCAATGTGCCAACTTCCATATTGGTGTGTGGCTGCATGTGAAGGTTACCATCAAAAATTGGGTTGGCACATCAGAATCCAAGATGTCTAGAAGTTTCCTCAAATGATTGGGTTGGGCATTGGGGTGACCAAAGGTGATCTTTGGTGGCCAAAGCCACCATTGCGCCCCCCCCCCCCCCCCCCCCCCCCACCCCCCTGGTTTCACCTCTGAGCCTGGTTGTGGATAAAATTGGTCCTTCCACTCGCCAGGATCCATCATTCTGTCCTGCCTCAGACAAGAATAAAAAACTTCTTCTGTTCTTCTACCAAAAATTTTTGTGTATTTTCATTTCCGGTTCAATTCCAGTTCGGAAAAATGGCTCATCTCAAAATTTGAAAAACTTCCCAAGTATCCGTCCTCTGGTTTTGTACCTAAAAATGCACAAATGAAAGATGGTTTGTTTTACTGTCAAACGGTGCTGTTAGACGTCCCCACTGTCTGTCTGCACTGATGTTTTCCTGTCCACACAGGACGCTTCCCCTGCTCTCTGGTACAGCTTCTTTTTTTTTTTTTTTTTGTCTGCCTGTCATAAACAGTGATGCAGATGAACATGAACTGTGTTGAATTAGGTCAACCACGCAGGTGACTTTAAAACATATTTCCATTTTCAGTTCATAAGCCTGAAGTCCCGAGTGCTGAAAAGAAACCACCTCCTCCCATCAAACCAACAGAAAAAGGTACAGCTGGATTCTCTGCTCAACTTGTCTCCTCTCATCCTTCCTCCTTCTCACATCATCTTGATGTTTATCAGTTTTACCCTTTTTTCTCACTGCTTTTCAAATTTCTACATGTCTACTCTAATGTAAGCTGCAATATTCTTCTTTGCTGTCAGCTACATGTCTTGTCTTAAGCTCATATATTCATATTGCTCCTTTAAAATGTGCAGTCTGCTCTGTAGAGTTTTTCATCAACATTAGCATAAAGTTCACAACAAAACTTCATCAAATGTACATCAGGGCAACAAACCTGCAGTGTACCATCTTAAGGAGAATCAACTCAAGGTGCTACAGTCCAGAACTTCATCATGATGCTAATAGTTCCATGTTGTCTTTTTTTTTAATCAGAAAGAGTGTTTAAAGCACCTTTTTTAATTGACAGAAGTTGCATATTTACTATATCCATCCATCCATTATCTTCTGCTTGTTCTGAAGTCGGGTCTCCTGGGCAGCAGCTTGAGCAGGGAGGCCCAGACATCTCTTTCCACAGCCACCTCTTCCAGCTCTTCTGAGAGGACTCCAAGGTGTTCCCAGGCCAACCAAGATACTCAGCCTGTCCTGGGTCTTCCCCGGAGTCTCCTCCCAGTCGGACATTCCCAAAGCACCTCCCTAGGGAGGCTGCCGGGAAGCATCAGTGTTGCCAGCTCTCGCAATAGAAAAAAGCAACCAGCTCTATGAAAACAAGCCCAACTGGCAACTGACCACATTGTGTAAAACAGAGGCTGTTTTTAAACAGTATAAAAATACATTTATTATGGCATTACACATGAACAACTGTAAAATGTTCTAGAATTGCGCCGCTCAAGGTGGCTGCATGTTGGAGCAGCTCTGTTACTTTCATTCTGAGATTTTGCTTTTGGAATCTTTAATTCCTCTTTTTCTGAATGTAAATCACATTTTTTGGATGATTGTTTCCTCTGGTATCAGATGCTGTGCAGCTGGAAGGATTTTTACTGAAACTTTTTTAGTTTTGGACATTTGTTATGATGCGTAACCATGGCAACAAGGCAGTTTTCTACAACCAACAGCAGCTGATTAACATCTCAAAAGCTCAAATAATATCTCAACTACAGCCACAAATCTCAAATGGGTTGAAAAGGATGTTCTGTGGACGCATTCTCATCTACCTGCCAGCTGTGCTCGAATGCCTGACCACTGAGATCCTGGAATTAGCAGGAAACACGGCTCATGAAAGCGGAAGGACAGCATCGCCCCTCGGCACCTACAGTTGGCTGTCCGCAGCGACGAGGAGCTCTGCAGACTGCTGGGAGGAGTGGCCATCGCTCTGGGAGGAGTTCTGCCCGGCATTCTGGCGCTCATACAGCCCGGGGGAATCAAGAGGCCAGCTGAGTCTGGATGAACGGATCGTAAAGCATCTGCAGCCAGTTTCTTAGGATCCACTGGACCTTTACAAGAGATCCTTCCTGTCTACAGTCATCAGTTATCTACAACATCTCTTAATGAAATGAGGATAACGAGTTACAACAGCAAATAATTTCCCTTTGGGATTAATGAAGTATTTTTGAATTGAATTGAATTGAAAATTATGATAAACACTTTGAATAACATAGCCAACAAGGACCAATAGGACTCCTTCTTCAGCTTGACAGCCTCTCTAACCCGGGGTGTCTACCATCAAGTTTGTGGATGGCCACCACGAAGCACCAACAATCTTGCGGCTACAGCTCAAGGCAGTGTTACAACGTGAGCTGGATGCGGGCCACGGGCCACTGCATCTAGCTGCTGCTAGCCGTGGGCCTTATGCCTCCTCTCGGACCCAGGAACCGCCTCCAGCCTACGCTGCTCTCCGGCTCGGACCCCCCTCAGAAGCGGCACTCACACTATCAATAAATCAAGGAAACGTGAAATCAGTTTTACCATTTGTATTAAAATCAAGGCAGGAGAAGGTTACAGTTTACAGCGCTGGCCGGTCCGGTACCTGAAGCGCGATCAGAAGCCAGAAGGCCCAGATGTCCCAAAGCATTACAGATTTATAGGGCCTAGACTCCTCCTTTAGAAGAGGGGCACAACCTGTCATGTGTATGAGAGGGAGTGACTAAGTGTTATCTCAATGGATCTTAACTGGTTTAACGTGAAGGAAAAAATGAGACGGTGCTTCAAAAGCCTTTCTATGTGATGTAGCAAGCAAAATAAACTATTCCTTGATGGATATTGAATCCCTGGGAGACCCTTTAGAGTTGCTGATCCTGTTTAACCCAGTCAGAACTGGGTCATAATGTCATTGTAATTCGGTCTCTGAGCAGATCAAAAAACCCCAGGGTCAATCTAGATAATTTACTAACAGCAGCCACCTCAACAATTGAGTGCAGAACATGGCCCACTTGGAGTCAATGTCCTCTGCCTCAGCTGGGATGCTCTTAAAGCTCTCCCGGAGGTGTGAGTTGATGATCATTTTGACGGGTTCTTCTGCTAGGCATTTCCAGCAAACCCTCTCTACATGTTTGAGTCTGTTGATGTCTGTCCGGCATCTTCCCCCCGCCATCAGTACACAGAAGAGCTACATCATCAGGCCAAGACTTTGCGGTTTAGACTCATCTCCAGGCCAGCGGTCACTCTTTCAGGGATGAATATGTTCACATCTTTGATAGAGAGGAACGATGGTTTGAGAGAGAAATGAATGAAGCCATCTTTGTGAAAAGAAACAGTCCATCATTAAACAGAGGAGGAGTCCTTCATGTTCAACTGTCCTTCTCTTACAATGCTGTTATTGCTAGTATCACTCAGCCCTCTGTGAATAACAAGAGTTCATCAGGGCATTAACGACTAATTGTTAGGCTGATGGTCCTCCTTTTGCATGTGAACAGCTAGTTCCGGATGTCCTGATGCATGCTCAATAACCCAGGTAGAAAAATCTAAAAAAGTTAAGACGATCTAGTTCTGGATGTCGACAACAAACTGTTTGATCCACTATGAGAAGGTGCTATTTATAAGACTGAGTTTGTTTCAGCTCCTCAGACTGAAGAAGTCTTTTGGATAAAAGATGAAACGTTTCAACAAGAAGAATCTGTCAAGAGGACCTGACTTAACTTTGTTAGATGTTTCTACCTGATTATTGAGAAGCAGCACGATACTTTATACTGTAATTTTACAGGCAGGAGGGTCGATTTTTGTCCATTCTGTTAGTTTTCTCTAATCATACCTCTCTCCTATGACGTATTTCAGCTGACAAGTTCCCCCTAGAGCTCAAGCCCAGTAAGCCCCCACCACCAACAATCCCAACCAAGAAACCAGTTCCCCTTCCACCCAAAAAGCCAGAGAAGCCTGTCACTTCCACACCCAGTTTCAGGTATGTTTGGTTTCCTCATTTTCTACAGGTTTATATGGAGGAGTAAAACAACCAGAACTCAGAATTGTTGCACAAATACATAACTGGAAAAAGAAATAAAAAGTGGCAGCGGTGGAAAATTCATTCATATTTTCCCTTTAGACATTTTTTTAAACAAAATCTAAAAAATGAAGAAAATACAGAAATTAATTCAAGGAACTAAGTAAAGGTCAAAAGATCATGTCACTTTAATGTCAATTATTGTTCTATTGATATTCATTAAATCATTTATGAAAACTAAAATATAAATGGTTGGGGTTTTTTTTTTTTGAAAGTTTTTTTTTTTAACATTTAAAGGTTTAGAGCCATGTGTGATTAACTACATAGAACTAGTTTGACGGTTTTCATTTCAATTCAGTTTATTTATTTAGCGCCAAGTCACAACAGAAGTAGTCTCGGAGCACTGAACAAAAACATTCACATACATAAAAATCCAATTAATAATGTTATCTAAGGAAACCAGCAGATTGTGTTGAATCTTCACTTCGTCGCAGTTTCACATCAAGCACAAAGGAGACAGTGGGAAAGAAAAACTCCCTTTAACAGGAAGAAACCTCCAGCAGAACCAGGCTCAGGACAAGTGGCCATCTGCTTCAACCAGCTGGGTTTTGAGAGGAACAGGAAGGAGAACTGAACACATAATGGCAAGTTCAGGTGCACTTTCTATAGGAGGAAAGACAAAAAAAAATATGTTAAGATTAGGCCTGTCGCGATAAACAATAAATCAATTAATTGCATGATGAATGAAAATGATCGACCTCCTTTTCATTTATCGACTTTATCGTTTCTTTATGTCTCTCTCTTTCTGCTGAAGACAGTGGACGACAAAAGGCTCAACTCCAGTGCTCTTCACTGACCCCTCCCTTTCTCTTTTCTCTTTAAAATCCATTTTAACCATCCAAAATCACGTTTTTGGAAAGTGGCAAAACTGAGAAGCTATGCTATGAGCTAAGCTAACAGTCCGACCTCATGAATAAACCTCCGTCTTGTCAAAGCTCCAAATTTCACGGTTGAAACCTGTGCCTTCGTGTAAAAAGTTGTTTTTCTTTGCAAAAATAAGCTGAGAACTTGTTTACTGAATTTTTATTAAAAGCTTTATGTGAAAAATGTTATGCTAAAGAGCTCAAATCACAAGTGTTCGCCTTGTCACCATGTCAACCCATGTCAAGGGCCCTCCCTCTAGGGCTGGGTACCTTTCTAAAAAAATCGGTACCGGTGTCGGTACCTTCACTTCGGTGTCTGTTCCTGGACGGTTCTTTTTTTGGTACCAGTTTTGTAATTACTATTAATTCTGACGAGAATAAAATTACGTTACACATTACAGTACATATTGTGAGTTTTATTTTTTAACTTTGGTATTTTTCTATTCCAAGCAGTTTTCTTGCATAAAAACAAACAAATAATTTCCAGGTCAAAACACCAGTTACAAACCAGTGACGTCAGTGTCTAATGCTCACTGCTACACACCGAGGACCTTTTCACTGAACAGTTTTTCTTCAGAAAAATCAACATGTCTGTTTTCTCTGGACACAAACAAGCCCACTCCTGGCTGATGGTGTCTCCAGCAGTAGAAAATGTTCACTCTGAGGCTGTAGATGATGATTGCTGCACACACAGATACCTGGTTGTCAAGTTTGATAGCACTGACATCTTGTCCCTCACATTCCACCAGCAGGTCACTGGAGTCACTGAGGTTAGGGTTGATGCAGACTTCTGCACCTCTGTGTCTCTTCCTGAATCTTCTCTGTGATTCTCTCGGGTTTAAGGCTCTGATCATCTCCCTAATTGACATGAGAACAAAACATCAACAATAACATGGTTGTGTTATTATTACTCAAAAACATTATCTAGGCTGAGAGATAAAAGCTTAACTGGTCAACAAAATCCTTTACAGTTTACTTACCTCCAACATGCAGCTCCACTGTAGAAAAAGCAGCAAACTTATCAACAAAGTTTGTGATTGTCCTGTGGCCCCCACCTCACTTTTCTGTCTGTCCTCACATCTGGGTCAGAGGCTCCTGTTAGGAGAACATGAACTTAAACAGTGAACATCAGGTGAACTGTTTAAGCAGCTGACTGGATAGATGAGCACATTTTTACAAGCTAAGCTTCATCTGTTACTGTCAATCTTTAGTTAGCTTTTGATTTTAGCTAGCTACATAGATACCCATAAAATAAATTTACACACTAATATCTTAAAAAGTTAGCGTTACATGGATCATAGTTTATTTCACCGCAATGTACGTGTTAAGCTACAGTTACGTTAACAAACGTAAACTCACCAGCTGAAACACAGACACGGAGCCGTCCTTGGAGTTCTTTGATGAAGAGTTTGGTCGTGGAGATAATGAATCAGGACGTTCAGGCTCTCACAGGCTGACTTTAATGCTGAGAGGAGGAGGGGGAGGCTGCTGAACTCCTCTCTCTTTGCAGAAAAGCACGGAGCAACTTTCTGCTCGTGTGTTGTCGAAGCCGTTCGACAACACGCGCTACACACGTGAACCCCATCTGTGGGCGTCACCAGCACCATAGACGTACATTATACATATATTAGGTATGACGGCTCTATACAACTCTGAGTGTAATCTGGGTGTAGTCTGTTTGTCATATGTCTGGTGTTTTACCTGCCTGCATGCTGAAACCACATGACACGTTACAGCCAATACCGTAACTTGACACCGAAAGAAGAGTGACGTTTCAATACATACACCGACCGGTGCAGTTCGGTCGGTGCCATAAAAGAACCTTGGTTCGGTACTCAGCCCTACCTCCCTCCCATTTTTCTTAGACACGCTGCTCAACTATCCATCCTTTGTTTCAAACAGTCTTATACTGCCATCAGGTGGTCAAAAGTACTACACTCCAAACAAATCAACATTTCTTCTAAAATTTGACAATTATTGTTAAATTTCAAACAATATTATTGTTATCGCAATAATTTCTGAGACAATTAATCGCCCAGCAAAATTTGTTATCGTGATGGGCCTAGTTAAAATAGAAATAATTAAAAATACAAACGGGTGGAGAGAGTAATTAAAGACAGCAGCAGAGTGAGAAATGTGGTCAGTTTGTCCTCCAGTAGTCTAACCCTAAACTAATATAAATTTAAGTTACTGTCATGACCCCAGTTCTCTGAGTAGCATGAGTGAGTGTCTCACATTGGGAACGCCCTCGGTGTGACCTCATCAGAAGCTCCTATTACATTACACCAGCCAGGATTGGCTGGGAATAAGTGTGTCAGTGTCCAGGAAGGCAGGGCCCTCCCCCATATGTAGGGCTGATGCTGCACTGACAGCTGATTCAAAAAGTTCACCTCTTCTCGCAACATTAGAGCAAGGAGGGTGACTTGGTGAGACACTCACTCAGGTTACTCAGAGAACCGGGGTTACAACAGTAACTTAAATTTCTCTTTCTTAGCATTCGTTTCGTGTCTCACGTTGGGAATGAAAATATACTAACTCCCGTATTGCTCAGCAGATTTCACGTTACCTGCCAGCTAATTTCAATCCTCCTGCTACATAGAGTATTGAAAGAGCCAGAGATGATGCTGTAACATCAAGTCTATAAGGCCGAGCAAACGTGTGAGAAGTCCAGCTTGCTGTGGCACAGATCTCCTGAAGGGATACCCCTTTCAGCAAGAGCTTAAGCCTCTAGTAGAATGGGCACGCAGGCCCTCTTGAGGTTGCAGTCCTTATGAACGGTAGTCTATGGCAAACACGCCTGTGATCCAGTGGGAAAGTCGCTGTTTTGTTATCGGTTTTCCTAAATGATTCTTAACCCAGGAGATAAACAGTCGGTCACTCTTCCTGACATGTTTTGTCCTGTCCAAGTAGATGTGCGAGGCCCGTACTGGGCAGAGTTTGTGTAACCTCTCCTGCTTCTCAGAGGAGAATGGAGAGGAATTGAAAGTCACTAACTCAATTAGAGAATAGGATTCAAGCACTTTGGGCTCAAAGGCAGGGTTTGGGAGCAAACTCACCCTAGACTTGTCTAAAGAGAACTTTGTTCAAGATGGGTTTATTGATAAAGCGTGACTTTCTCCTACATGCTTAGTAGAGACAAGTACCATCAATAGCGCCATTTTTAGTGTAACTAACTTTAAATCTACCCGATTCAGAGGTTCAAAGGGTGAAGCAGTGAGTTCCTCCAGCATCAGGGGTAGATCCCATTAAGGAGTCATAGGTTTTAAGGCAGTGAGTTTTCTGCGAGCCCCCTTCATAAAACGACCTATTAGAGGATGCTGACCTGCTGTTTTCCCATCAAAGCCTATGTGGCAGGATGAAATAGCAGCCAAATAAACTTTACTAGTGGAAAAAACATTTCCCTTGTCAATCAGGTTCTGTAAGAAAGCCATAATCACAGCCACAGAACACTGAAAATGAATCTCTTGAGTATCAGAGCACCATTTTTCAAAAATGGATCATTTACACCCATATAGAGATCTTGTCGCAAGTGCCCCTGAACTCTGTATGGTATCAATCACACTCTGTGGGAGGCCTACAGATTGAAGGTTGAACCACTCACGGGCCAAGCCCACAGAGCCAGCCTCTCTGGGTGAGGGTGAAAGATTTGTCCCTGTGCCTGAGACAGCAGGTCCTTGCGTTCAGGCAGAGGCCACGGCTCCTCCCAGAGCAGCTGTGTTATCTCCGCTAACTAGTGTTTTGATAGCCAGTGAGGTGCGATGAGAATCATCGACAGGCCCTCTGACCGTACTCGACCAGCGTTGACGGAGGCAAACACGCATCTGGGGAGATGCAGCTTCAGTGCCTTGTCTTCTCTTTTCCTCTCCTCCTGCCTCTTTTGCATCGAGGTCAGCGGGGCTGAACAGGCCCTGCGGGGTGATGGGAAAGTCGAGGAAAGAGTGATGAGATTCAGCCACCTGACCCTCTCCTGCAGAACCATCAAGCTCATGGTTCTGCCCAGAGCTTGGATCACCACTTTGTGTAGCTGGAGACTGTGATCTGTGATGATGCAGATTTCATCCCATAATGCAGCATCTGTTGCGATCATCTGCTCCTCCAGCTCTGCTTGGTAAGCCGTGAGCAAGGAGGAGGTGTTCAGAGCATGGACTGACAGCGCAGCCGCTTATATGATTTTATTGTCAGGCTGGACTGAAAGTGGTTCGCTCTGGTTGGGGTGGTTCCACCTGCTGACATGGGGGTCTTTGAGTGCAGGTATGCTGCAACCTCCGGTTTGCCTGGACACACAGTCCAGCACAGAGCTTCCTGCCACCCTGCCACCAGTGCTTCTCCTTAAAGGACTTGTTGCACCAGGAGCCAGTCAGCTCTTCCAGCAGCTCTGGGAAAAATGGCAGGAGTTTTTTGTCTGTTTTCTTTTGCTTTTGGCAGTTTTTTTCCTGTCAAAATGTGAGCGAACAGCCTCAGCTTGGACTTCAGGCCATTGGATGTCGAGCTTCACAGAGGTGCATTTGCACATGATGTGCAGGTCCAGTCAGTATAGAAATACAGATATGATCTCTCCTACCAACTCCAGTTAAGACTCTGGCTGCAGCATTTTGGATCAGCCAAAGACTTTTTATAAAGAAGTATTTGGACACCCAGATAACAAACCATTGAAATAGTTCAAACTAGATGTTATAAATGCATGAACCAGTTTTTCTGCATCATTTTTGAACAAAATGTTTCTAATCAGACAAATAATGTTATTAACTTACTTTTTATATATGAATGTTTCTGTTCAATGCCCTGAGATGACTTCTGTTGTGACTAGGCGCTATATAAATAAACATAAATGAATTGAATTGAACTGAATCTTAGTGATATTGCACAGGTGGAGGAAAGTGGTTTTGGTAACATTTTTAATGTGTGGGGGATAAAAGACACGTCCTGATCAAAAATAACATCAAGGTTTTTAAATTTAGAACTGGAGACCAGATTAATGTCATCCAGAGGAAGTGAAAGACTGAAAAATGTATCCCTAAGGTGCTCTTTTACTTTTTATTTAGGTTTTAAATACTGAAGATGTGGGATTTGTGCTTTTTTAAGCCCCTATAAATTTATTTAAGATACACATCAATTGCAGTTTTCAGTAGTTTTTACCCATTTTCATGTGTCTTTCTTCATTAGTCTGTGTTGTTTGACTTTTAGTTTCTGTGCATATCAAACATCAATATCATACAGTTTTATTTTTTTTATCTCTGTCAAAATGTTTTGAGCATTCAGTTTTACTTTTTACTGTTTGCCCCAGAATGTCAGTCAGATTTTATGGTGCATGTAAATAAACAGTATTGATTGCAGGAAATACAAAAGTCCCTACATATACTGTTTTTAATGGATTATAAACATTTTCTCGTGTTTTTTTTTTTTTTTTATTGTTTTTTTTTTTTTTTTTAATTGCAGACAAAATGGAGAGGTGCTTTCCACACGACTAAAGTCTGAAGTGGAGCCAGTATTGCCTCCTGTACCCAAACCTCAGGCAGGAGACGCAGCAGAAAAGCCCTCAGAATCAGGTTTGTACACAAAGTGTTTCTCCAATAGAAAAAAATCCACAATATCACAATGTTGTTTTTGTTTATACTTGACAGAAGATCTTGAATGTTTTGTTTGTGAGTTCAGTTTTTATAGAAGTCGTTCTGCCTTAGTGAGACTTATTTGATCACATGAGAGCTCTTTTCCCTAAAGTCCGTTTTTGTTTTTAACAAGTTAAACAGCTATTTCTAAGTGAATAGGACAGCTTTATATTCACATTTACCATGGCTTGAACTTTCATAAACCAGTTAACTTTGTAACTCCACGAAAACCATTGAACTGCTTTATGTTGAAACTTCAAGTTTTTCTGTTCTGTTAATTTCATTTGTTGGGAAACATCTTTTTCAGCTTTTTCTGTGTTCTTTGTTTTATTTGAGATGTTTGAATATGATCTCATGAAGTCACGTCAGAATATGTTTTACATTTCAATAAACAGAAGGAGCAGAAATGACTATAGTCATGGTGCAACATACAGAAACTGTAGACCTTTTCAACAACTCCAACAAAAGTTTTATACATGCATTAAAAGGCTGATTTATTATGGTCTAGTCTCCATTCATCTGTGGTCCAAACACATGTACAGGTCCTTCTAAAAAAAATTAGCATATTGTGATAAAGGTCATTATTTTCCATAATGTAA